ATATCCCCGCTCAACAGCAGGCTCTATGCGCTTTACACTACATTATTACCCCAGCAGACCATAGAACACCCCGAAACGTTCTCAGCTTCCCGTGAAGCATACAGTGCAGGCAGCTGATTAAGCGCTCAAACACTAACAAACTGACAAGATCTTTCGCTGTCTATAGCCGGGTACCCGTTCCCACCTGGTTGAAGTGAGGAAAATTAGTGTAAAGTGCCTTTCCCAAGGACACAACGTCGGGCTCCTGACGGGATTCGAACCCACGACCTTACCGTTGCGAGTCCGAGAGCCTAACCACTAGGCCACCGACGCCACTAAATGACTATGCCAGTCTATTGCGACCACATTGAGGGGTGTAAAAACGAGTGTAAGATATGATTTTTTCCAGTCTAGTGCGACCATATTATTGTGGGGTATTAAAAAACCGTGTAGGTAACGACTTCGCCTGCCCAGAGCAACCACATTGCTGTCTTGTGGGATCTGAAGACCCTGTAAATAACAACTGTGCCAGTCTAGTAGGGCAACCATAATATTGTGTTCTTGTGGGCTGTAAAGATCGTATAAGTAACGGTAGTGTACCGTCTTCCATAACAATTAACCTTTCTTAATAACCGTGCTGACTATTGCAAACATATCACCTGAACCACCTTATACCAATCAGATAGCGCCAGTGTGTTAGGACTAGGAAAGGGAAGGAAAGGTGTCGCATTGCCTAAGTAGGGCAACCATTGATTGCATTCTTGTGGTAAATAAAGACCCCTGTGAATAGCGGCTATACATGCCTATGCAACCATATCAATATTATTATGCTCATGTAGAGAGGAAAGACCCTTTAAATGAAGGTTTTACCCATGCTAGGCAACCTTATTGCATTCTTGTGAATGGTAAAAACCCTGCTAAAAACGACAATACCTGTCTAGGGGCAACTGTAATATTGTGTTTATGTGGGTTTAATGATATAGTCTGCACTTACCAGCACAATTTTCTGACCACAACCGATCCGATCTGAACGGTCTTGTAGACCAGGCCCGTTCTACCAGTGAGCATCACGTTTTAGGCAATATAATGTCATCATTTATTGTGGATACTGGTGGCTTCAGAGGGCGTTGTAGCA